TCCTCTAACGATCCCAGCTCACCGACGCTCCGATTCTCACACCTTTCCACACGATATAGTTGTTCTTAACTGAAAGTTCTCTTCTTGTCCTGATGTATCTCCAAGGAACATAGCAATGGGCACTTTAGTACTGCAAGGGTGATTTCTGCATCCGGAGCACATGAATCTCATACAATGGGCGATCCACAGTATTGGTATACCGGGGCTGCTCCAAGTGAAAGTTGTTATTATGTCACTTAAGACACTAAGTTAAATGACAGTGCAAGCAGAAAATCGGCGATTAATGATGCCTTCAGTCAGAAGATTTACACATAATGACGTTGTACTGTTGAAACCTACTATCAAATTATTTACAACATTGGGTTTTTACAGGTTCTTGTAACCGTCCATCTGGCTGACTTACTGTGAAAGCAAACTGCTTGCGCTTCCACAGTGAGTCACGCTGTTACTTTGATCCTTGCTCTTCCTTATCTGCTCCCCATTCCTCGTCGATCTTGTCAGTACACGTTGTGTCGGTATTCTCGTAAGTGAGAAGTCTTTCATGTGACATGATTTGCGACAAGTAACTGTTGCACCCGAAAGCATCAGCCCAGTTTCGGAAGACAGCGCCGACCAAAATCGCTCACCAAAAACACAGTAACTACTAACCAAACTTAAGGCAAAATTGAGCAGAATGGTTAAAGCTGAAGAGTGCGCGTTGGTGTTAACTGGACGTGTATATTCAACCCAACCTCCCTTGAATTCTTTGATGCTTGTTGCCTATCAACTAAATGAAAACTGTTACACCCAGTTTAAATGTTATCCCACATTATGTCGTCAATCTTTATAATAAGTGTTAGCCATGTAGTGTCTCTCAGGTTTGTCCAACTTGAAACTGATTAGCGGAAGACTGTTTTCATCATACACCCCCTTAAGGAAACAGTTATGTTCATTTTTTTAAAAGAATGAACGGAACTGTGTTCATAAGATCATTAATATGTGTTAATTAATGTATAGTATACAAACAGTGAACCGGGTAAACAATGCTGAGATTATCGCTCCTAACATGTAATATAATCATCTATCGAAATAAGCTCACTTGTGCACTTCACAGAAACTTGGTATACTGCAAAACAAAGGCAAGTCAGTGCGTAAAACAACGGCATTGCCGAGACCACGGTTTGATCAGGCTTGGTCGCCCTTAGCGAATTAACCGTTCCTGAGTGTCAATTGCACGTGCTATATACCCCTAAGAAAAGGGGTGACACACAAGGCGTGCCGTGTTTTGCATGGAATTGGTGGAATCCTAAAACCGTTTGGTCGTTTCCTAGGATGTATTGGATTGGTTTGCAAATAAGTGGACCTAAATTTCACTTATGGACGATGTTAACCCAACCTGGGCGGATGGGTTTCCTGATGGACAGCTCACAATGTACTGATACAAGTCCTTGGTAGACAAAAATACATTAATACTCAGAAATATAGAAAAGCCCATGAATCGGTTAATGTTTATCGAAAAATCGTTTATTCTTTCAAGTTTAGGAAACAAGCATATGTTTACGTCTGCCAGAAATAATTATTGAATGGCGTTCAGATAACCGTGGAGGTTGGGTAATTCCCACCGTTCCAACCCGATTTCTGTTAGGTTAGAAATCGTTAATCAAAGCAGTGCAAACATAACGGGGTTCTGCCGTAGCAAAATATTGCATCGCTATACACCCCACCATTCAGTTGACAAAGTTCAAAATTTGACGAAAGCGAACATTGCTTTAGTATGCTTAAAAGCGAATGCTGTATGCTTATCGACATCATGTGAGAGTGAGCACTGAAGCGTAATATACGATGTAGTTGCGGCTATGACTTAACAACGTATTGTGTCATCAGGAATATGATGATGCCGACTTCGCTCTTCATTCGGTGATTATCTGCTTCCGTTATTCAACTAAGATATTTGGTCTAAGGACAGACTAGAATCGCTACAATGTGAAGCAATATGAGTGGAATCAGTGTGAGCTTGACGCATTCTTTGATTAAACTAATAAATCTGGGCCTAAAGAAAACCAAAACCGTGGAGAATGTTCCAATGTGCCTGTCACTAGAAGAAAAGCAGTACTGATGACATTCATCGTGGCCGTACCGCATATTCAGCTTCAGCCCATACATCATAGGTTGGGCTCGCGGATGAGTTTAGGTAGACTTCATCATAGAACATAAGGGTTATTTAATGCCTGCTTCACTATGAGGAAAGCATTGCTCAGCAGTCTGTGATATGTAGTACACGAATATAATTTAATGCAGCTCCTCGAATTTAATTTTTCCTCCATGCGTTGATTTCCGTGCAGCAGCGAGGTCCCATTTTTACCAGCACGTCGGTGTGAATAACGCATTCAAAGTGCAGGAGCATGCTGGTATTCAACTTCGCGGAAATATGAGCTATTCATAACTACGTCCAGTTTATGGTTATAGACTGATCTGTTTGTTCCTGCGTCTTAATACAGAGTCAGGGTCACAGGAACACTAATATTCTTTGGAAGTACAATAAGCTTACTTTCTTTGTGAGATCTCAACAAATGGTTTTCACCAAGCCCATAAATGTAAGTGACTGTGGGTATCTGGTCAAGCTCAAACACATGAATATTCAATGTTTGCTTTATCGGAGTACAAAAATATGTGTTGTCTAAACAGGACAGAAAAAGATATGTTTGTCGGAATACTGAAGACCATTACCTGTTAATACGGTTAATTAAGAGCTGAAAAATTCAGCTCAATGATGATTATGAAGATAGAAAACATGTGAAGTTCTTGTTTCAGGCCCGGTGATATGACGCACTCAATTAGATAACTTCCAAGCCTCTCACTTTAATTTATGTCCATGGAATAGTCATCGATTCAATCCAACATTCAATTGCTTGTCCCCCACAACCGTGGGGCTTATGGAGTATGATGCGGTGGTGGAATCAAGTGCATTACGATGAAAATTACGATTAGACTGCATCCACCTTCAATAGAAACTTCTTTACTTCGATTAATCCACCAGGGTATGGTATACATGTTTGTGGTACATCTTCAACATTTTTGAAAGATATGCAATTAGAGTGTGGCGTCATTAATGTGTTTCAAACAACCTGTCAGTTCAACCTCAAAGATGGACTCCACGTCTTTAGATAGCACAAAAAGCAACGTGTTTGCCATGGTGATATTGCTTTCCTTGTGCTTACAACTAACAGTCTACTTTGTACCTTGGTTGAATTTCTTTTTCGTCTGAAAGAAATTGAAAGAGCCAAGTCATTCGGTCGTCAAGTCCGTGACTGCAGCTGCATGTTTTCTGCTCCAAGATAGTCGAAAAAATATGACAGCACACAATTAACAGCACATCTGCGATGAAGGCAGTATAAATGGCAAGATACACATGTAGTATGGATTAGATTTGAATTGATTTTTGCATTCTTTTTTTGTTTACATGGCCACGAACGACTTGTTGATAAATGCGTGAACAGATGGGTTCGAAAACCGTAACTGTAACAAAGTGACCATCAGCGAGAAATGCAGAGTGTACCACATTTAAAAGAGCAGTTAGTTCGTCTTTCGTTCTGCCCACTAGGTGCGCGGTTGACAGAGCATAATTCTCAGTAGGCCTACAAACCTCATTTTCCTTTCGTCCATTTAGTATGTGCGGTGTCTATAATTCTTTGTTTTACTTTTATTTTATGCGGTTTTTCAACGAACTAGCTGCTTGCAAGAAAACCGTTTTGATGGAAACACAAGTTGCAGAATTTTATGAATATCTAATTTTTCTTCCGAAGCAGTTACACGATTACTTAAGCTAGACGGTATGTTCAAAAATGCAGCTGACATCGATTTGCTGCAGTTAACTAGTCCTGTCTGAGGGTTGATGTTGATAATAAGACCATTGATGTCTACAGAGCTCGTTGTTTAAAGGTAACGAGCTATTCTTTTGATCGGACGGTGCGGATTCGAACCTGCCTAAGAGCAGGGCGACTTGCGCACTATCGTTAAACTACGTTTGACCGGTGGTGGTTGCGCGGCAGCGAATCGTCAGTACGGCGTACTGGCGTACTGCAGATGCCATTATTTTAAAGAGCTAAGTTAAGGTGCCTACCTCTGAATGTTAGGCTAAATTCAGAAATCCTGAACTCAACCTTCCAGTATTTAGAACAAAAGACCATCTGGTGAGCAAATGCTTTCAATGATTCATCGTCAGACCATTGCAATCATATAGAGGCTAGAAAGAGAAATCGACCCAGTTAGTTCAAAACAAATTGATCACGTGAAGGTCAATGTCAGAGTGGAAAAAACGAATTAGGTCTTAGAGGGCTAGATGTTCGCTACCGCGTCTGACCGAAGGCAGTCGACCTGGGCGTCTTCCATCTTCGCTGGCCAGGGAAGCTGTTCATCTTTCTAGGTTTTATCAAATAACTAAAACCCAGAAAATAGCAGTTACCTTCCACCTGGAAAACAAGCGTTGGCACTGATTCAAAGAACAGTGATTGACGTTACCGAAAGTAGAGCATTCTTTCTGTAGCTTTTTCAACCTAATGCGCTATCGAATTCCTCCTAAAGGAAACCATGTTTCACCACAAAACACTAAAAATAGTCGTTATCTCTACCAAGTGGTATCCAACGGTCGCAAACTGCCCTCAACCCTACTTTTCATCGCGTGCTCGATTCCAAGTCAGCCAATAGTATCCCACTCTTTATACTCATCTGTTATACTATCGGCTAATTCGAGATTGGTTACTCAAACAACACTTTGCATATTTTAGGTGTGTTTATACCCACTGGATCCAATGTGGTGGTGTTAAAGACCATTTTGAGAGACCCATGTAGAAACAGGTTTACTTCAGAGAGGAGTTCCAGTGTCATGGATGCAAATGGTCAAGAAAAAGTGTGGTAAATTCCGGAGGTCGAGCGCAACTTAGCATGCGATCTGCAAACAATGCCTATCCCGCATGATCAACGAAGAATTGAGTGAGAAGCGAACACGGAAAAGAACAGCATACGCCCAGCTATGAAGAAAACGAATATGCTCCCGTGGAAATGCAGAAGAGGCGGCATGAAAATTTAGCAGCACAGAAACATACATTCAAGAGCGATGGTGATTTTTTAGTCCTGGGGTTGTCGGCAAATAAGAATCTCTAATTCAGTCAACGGATGCTCTTGACACTCTAATTTGTCATTCATAGCCATTGCGGTTTACTATTCGGTTAATTGCCAGACAACATCAGTTCATAACTATACATGCAATAATAAAAATTCCGCACTCTGTTTCTGTTGGAAACAGTGTAACCTATTTACAGCAATTTCATTAACATGAGTGCGGTTTTATACTTATCTAAGGCACATAACACTAAGCTGTACATATTTCAATTCGGTTCAAGTGTGAGTCTTACCAGCTCCATTTACATTCGTGCGTTGGAAAAGCTGCCAACTGTAGGACCACGTGACTTTAGTCCAGCTTGAGCAGGGGAATACGCATATATCAAAGGAATAATTAGTGAAAATAACGGGATTACAAAAGCATCCGGATAAAGGAATTATATCAACACAGCCCGTCCGAAGCATTGGAGCCAACTGATAACCCCATGAAATCACAAATATGTATGGTTCCGTGGAATGTGACCATCACTGTCTCCACTGGAATGCAAACTTGCGATAGCGCTACTGGGGAGATGTTCCTTTCCGTGTAAAGCTTTGGAAAAATGGAACAATTGTTTGATACAGGTGCAAATGCTAGTGTTTATGTGGTCCGATAGGATCGTCATAGTGAATGTTGCAAAATATGGAAAAGTTGTTAATGAAAGCAAGTTTACACCAGTGGACTCACCGCGGTATACGTGGTAAAAACTGCAAATGTACAGTAAGTACATAGGAGATGACGCAAATGGGACGTTTATAAAAGCCATATCGCCTCTTGGTGAACATATACAGGAGATAAAAGTGTGGAATGTTATCTGGGAGTTTATTAGCAGTGAACTCCATAATAGGCACTGTTGTCTGGCCATGGACAATGAGTGATGTGGTATGGTGCAGCAAAACGAGTCCAACGTCAATTCGTGGTTTGAACTCTACCAGCGTGGGAGCACAGTTGACAGGTTCCGGTAGAGCAGTCCACGCTTGGCATAAAAGTACGGGAAAGAACATCCGACGGCATTCCAAACCATGGAAGAATGAAGTTATACGAGTTAAGAACCTTTGATATACATGTCTTGTTGGGTAGCTGGTGGGGAAATCGAAATAATAATAATAATGATCATAATATGTATAATAGTAAAACAGTTAGTACATTAAATACGAAGAGAAAGGCTTATTGTTTGCGCCTCGGTAGTTCTGCAATATGCGTAGATTCACAGCACCCACAGTTAACAACAAATACTTCCATGGTAAAATTCAGATGTAGGATGGGGACGTAGCGCTAAGTGAAAATATTTAATTGGATGTGCACGGCATCCAACCGTTTTTTAAATACTGTTATTGTCGATGCAAGGATGACCGATTCTTGCAGAGTTTTCTACGGACAACAGTCACGAATGGAAAAGAAATTTTGCGGCACTCCAGACGCCTAAACTGTTCTGTGAGTCTTAATGATGAGCGCTCAGTTTTGTATTGCTGGAGAGTTACAGCAAAGGTCGGCACACATGACGTGGGTCTCGCAGAAACAAGTATGCCATAATTAGCTCGCCACTTAAAATGCAATAGGGTCCACTGAATACCCCAAAACGTTTCAGTAACTATTCATATTAAAGATTGCGCGTCCCAATTACGTTCTTAGATGGCTGACGTTGTGACTGCTGCAGTGCATTAAGGTCGTGTTTCAGCCATAGACGCCAGGCTTGGATTACGTATTCGACATGGGGGCGAACATACGCACTGAGCATTTGTCGAAAAATAAAGTTGCTTATTTTTCCGAATGCCCGGCGTAACAGCCCGGCGTGTTAGTTTCCAGTTTTCGAAACCTTTTCGGATTGCCTAGAGCAATCCAAGTTATCCTGAACCAGCACGCCCAAGTCACGTTTGACAGTTGATAGTTGCAGTGTATTCCATATCAGTAGCTGCACTGATGTCGGATAGAAAGTACCTTGCATTTGCTCAAGTTACAATGTAGTAAAGTTGGGACTGACCATTGATATGCCGTGTCTAGTTCATTCTGAAGCAGACGCTGGTCGGCGTGCTCCTGAATCCTGCGCCAAATCTTGATATCGTCGGTAAAATATGGATGTTTGAAAAGATTCTCTGTGCAAGGTCATTAATAAATACCAAAACAGACGTGAACCAAGTACCGAGCCTTGCGGCACACCACACACGAACTGTTTTGGTCCGATAAAGAGCTCTGAACCATGATCACTAATTGCCGTTGTAGTATAAAGTTGGCAATCCATTTTAAATGTTACCGACCCCGTAACGCTGGAGCTTAGGACTAGTATCCGATGGTCTAGACGATCAAAAGTTTTGGAAAAATCCAGGTAGATCACATCAACGACTTCTCCAGCGACAGCCGGCTCAGTCCAACTACTGCGTGCAATTAGTAAATTCATTTTGCTTGGCGTTTTCAACGGAAGTCATGCTGCTCAGGCTAGATGATGTTTCAGATTTCAAGGAAACACTCCAGTACATCGGCAACAATGGAATCCATGGCCTTGGAGGGTACAGGAAGACGGGATACTGGGCGGTAGTTGCAGGGCTCAGTTCTGCTTCTACCTTTGTGAATCTGGGGTTATTTTTCCAAGCATCCACATAGCGGGAACTTGGTTCTGATCTACGCAGCGCTGGAAAAACTGAACTAAATTTTCTGCCAGTTGGCTTGCTGCTTCCAGTTCATCTGGATTAATGATATCGACATCCGGTGGTTTGTAGTATATAAAATGCATTGGCTTAACAAGTCCCGTTGGTTAGTAATAGAATTTGCAAATTTGAACACTGCATAAGTGGACCAAGTAAAATGCATAGCAGTGAAGTGACAAAGTAAAGTAAAGGTCGTCGGAATCCAATGACACTATGCGATAAAGATTAAAAGTTATTATCGTTAGTGCTTATAGCAAATAGCAAACGTATTGCTCACCAGTTGCAGGTTTACGTGCTTCAATGCGGGTTATAATTCCATAGAGGCAAATCAGCCTGAATATACCCAAAATGTCCGCTCATGTAACAAAGTGCGGAAAGACCAATGCATTATTCGAAAAGCTAAAGAGGGGACACCAACCACTGAGTTTGGAAGATAGTTCCAAGGTTGGCGGACTCGGAGGGAGTAGTAATTTTATCGATAATCTAGACGACTGTATTGTTGGCTCAGTTTCAGGATTTACCCCAGAGTTGCGAAAGGTGGCGACATACGTGACTGGGGTTGCTCACTAATGGGTTTACTAAAATATGATCTCCAGGTAACAGCCGGTAGCGTCTACTGAGCACCCCGAGTATCTCCAGTCGTTCTTGGCGCGGAAGGTGGTGCAAACCCTTGACAGTTTTCGTTGTTTGACTTTGTGGGGTCTCGAACGCTACGAGGTCACGGTTTACCCCAGGGTGCCAAGACCGGATAGCGTATTGATCATGAGTATCAGAGAGAAGACGGATAAATCCACACTCTCGAGCGCCTTCTGTAAAAGGCTAAGACGTTGGTTACCTCTTCTTGAAGCAGACACAGACTCGCTGTAAAAACCGAGGTCGTCCTGCACCCGCACACCGAGGTCATGTACCTGAGAGGCGGTCTCCAAACCGTGCGTCCCAAGCCACTAGATTTCGGTGCATCGATGGTGGATGTGGAAAAAGCGACCTTTGTTTACAACGAATGGTGGCGCGTTCCTCACTGAACAATTTCATGGCCCATCAAGATTGCCTAATGTCTTGATCATCTGTTAAACCTTAAACTCTTCGCGAACGGTAAACATTTTCAGTTGTTAATACTCCCTAGATTGCTAATGAAAAATAAGTACAGAAGAGGCCAAAGTACTGGATGAAAGGGACAAATTTGCTTGGGGGCTCGAGCGAGACATAAAACTCCAGGGTTCAACCAAGAAAGTAAGCCGAGACGTTAACTACGGTACTATTCAAATAGTAATTAAAATACAATAGATAAATACTGCGAAAATACCCGACTAGTTCCGAACAAAAACAGCCTTCACAATGTCCAAAAGGAATGCAAATGTACTTGCCACCGTACATAAAGAGTCACACGATACCGAGTTCATGATCCGTTAACCCTTGACTCATTGGTCCACTACACAGCGTATGAAAGAGAACGCAATATGCTGGGCTTGGCTCAGGCGAACAGTGGGGGGTGGGAGGAAAATGGAGGTGCGTCCCCCTGGGGCTGGAGGGTGATCCAAGTCTGAGGGATGTGCGGAGTGGTGGTCTAGACGGGTTGCACAGTATGAGCGGACGGTTTCTACAGTGAGAGATGAAGTGATGACAACATCGATATGAGATCACATGAGCGATGACCGGTAAGCCGGCGCTCGTCGATTGGGGCAGGCGTCTGCTTTGGTTATCCAGACTGAGATCCTGACGTGCAGCCTGCTAATTACATAATATAGAAGAGTAGTACTGGGAGTCGAATGTTATAGGTAGAAATTCGTCACATCTAGACTCACTCAGATAGCCGTCACACGCCCGGAAAAGCATAATAGTTACGTCGGTTGGCATGTAAACATTGCCCATAAACTGGGTTGGCGGATAAATGGCAGGAGTTAAGAAGCATATCATGTTATTCATCTTATGGATTACATAACACTTAGGTCGGGAGGGCAAATAACCATGGGTATATGGTGGGTAAACTAATAGTTGGTGGGAATCCAGAGTTAGCTCGCGTCATCCATCTTGCGAATTGCTTGGGAAATTTACCGCTAACACCGAATCCTATAGTACACCGCACAAGACTCGAATTGGGTCGGGCAAAGATGCTCGCGGAGAACTTTACCGATCAATGCCAATACTGGATCTCCCATGTCATAGCGCTGTTTTGTGAATCAGGATATGATGATCCAAGTGTTCGAGCGCCTTTGAAAATTCCAGGTAGATAACATCGATTCATGTATCTTAGTCGACTGATTCGATCAAGCTATTGTGTGCTATATAAAACAGGTTCGTGGCGCA